ACCGCCACGAGGTTTTAATAACAGAAAGACTGACAGTTTTCGAGTTTTTTTCGATTCGGCAACGTCTGAAATTTTACTATCAGTTGAGCAACTTACGAAATGAAATGTTACTAGTTTAATTGCTGTTGAACGCATTTCATTGGGAATTTTAACGTTATGTTGGATATACAAAATTATCAAAAATGACGTCATTCTCTTCTTAACGTGAACAGCCTATAACGATCTTATAACAACGATTATTGTTGTTTGTTGATTGACAGTGCTTTAATAGATATACCTAGTTTTAGTTTTTTTTTTGCGGTTGTATGGAAGAACATTCTCTGACTGACTTATCATTGCAGATAATGAATCTTGCCATTTTTTTGGTTGTGTTTTTGTAGACCAACAAAAAGCTATATATTTCCATCGCCCGCCTATGTCTAACCCCTTTTACAATCTATAGACACATAATAATCAATGACCGTATCCATCTTTTTTTTTTCGAACGTATTTCATTAGACCGCTTCGGGGGTCGAATTCTCTAGCCAAGGCCACCTACTTCTTCGATATTAGATGATTTTTTCGCTTCAAAGCCTCGTACAAGCACCTGCACTTGGCACAACAATCATGCCTTTCATTCACCCCTTCCACGACCCATTCTCGTCTCTGTTTCACCTTCAGCGGCTGCCTTTTTTCGGGACACGGTTAGTGCGACAATTTTTGCGACGTTGTCATGTTCACCGATTTTACCGCTACTCTCAAGATTTAAGCATATACAAGATAACAGTTATTTTTCTCACAACAAACTATTGAATGATTTTCAGCAGGGCTTTCTGAAGAATAGTTCAATTACCACAGCTGTTTTTCATTTCTTGGGAAAAGTTGTTAAGGCTTTGAAAAGGGGTGATCTGGCTGTTGAACTATTTTTAGACCTCTCCAAGGATTTCGAAAGCTTGGATCGCTCTTTGCTCTACGAAAAATTGACAGAATGTGTAGTGAGGGGATATTTCCGTATGTTATTGTGAGTAAAGAAAGGCAGTCCATCTTTCGGGTAACAGCCGAGACGAAGTTAAGTGTTTCTGGAAGCGAGATCCCTGGACTGGTAATTATCATAATTTTCATTAATGATTTGCTTGGAGATAGCAAACAGTTATCAAATGATATCTGAAACTATACTGATGTTACGAATATTTTTTTCAAGGGACAAAAAATGGATGCTTTCACAAATTATATTAAACCATATTGATGACCCTGCAAAAATGCTTCATAAATTATAATGTACAATCTTCAAAGTACAACAAAAGAGTAACAGTGTGCTAAATCAAATCATACATCAATGACAGAAATATTGAGATAGAAGATGAGGTAAAACCTCGTTAGATTTTAAACAGACAGTACTAGAAACCGTATGTTAAGAGGTAAGATCTCGTTAAAGGTGCATATCACTACGTCGAATTCTCACTACGCCGAAAGACAGCCCTTTCCGTATATTCAGTGTGAAACACTGTAACAATTTGTCAAACAACTCATACATCAATGACAGAAATATTGAAGTTAGAAACCTGAAGTTTTGGGTTGTTGAAAACTATTTGTTTAAAATGGTCTGTCATGAAACATAATGTGACAAACTAAATTCTACGTGGGCGAAGCCGCAACAACTAGTTCCTTTCATATATTACTTTTTACTGTTTCAAAACAGTATCTACTACTACAGAAAATCTACTGAATTGTCATAATATGACCCACTGGAGAGTCCAAGTTTTGGTCCGAGGTGTACAGGGGAACTTTTTAGGTTTGAGAACGAAAGGTGTCACTTTTCATCCGTTAACCATCTTAATAAAGCCAAGTTTATAAGCTATAAGATTCTCTACAGATTATTCAATTTGTAGGAAAAATTTGTGAATAGAAGTTACTGATTATCTGGACTATCCAGTGGTTTATATCGCGCAGTAACTTTTCAGTCATTATTACACTTTAACAGATTCCCTATTGATTCAGAGATATTTTTCACATTGTTGAAGGGTTATTATTAAAAAAAAAACAGCAAGAAACATATGTTTGTTAACTGCTTTAGCTTTGAATATTACTTGAGTTTTTTCCCAACACCATGCCGTTATTTTAACACCTCCACACGGGTTTCGATCACCAAGTGATCATCTTCAAGAGGAAGATCTTGATTTTGATCTTCCTCTTGAAGATGGTCACTTGTCACTTGGTCATCGAAACACGTGTCGAGGTGTTAAAATAACGGTTTGGTGTCGGGAAAAAACTCCAGTAATATTCATTACTACACCAAAGGTTCCAAATAGTGCATCACAAGTGTTTTAGCTTTGTTACATCGATGTAATTGATATAACTATATATCTTCAAAGCAATCAATCTGATTAGAATTAATTTCTGTTCTAATCTTCTGCTGTACTAATTTTCCATAATTTCATGAGCTTATGAAAGCTGATACTCGAACTTCATTAATAATTTCAACTCACCGAGATCTGGGAAATATTTAAATCCCGATTTGGCAACAATGCGCTACAGCGAGAACCCCCAGTCATAATAAATATCGGCCGATCTCGATTATCTACGAGGATAATAATTATTAATGGTTTCGTTTTTAGTATACAGGTAGGATGTAGTGGCAGCAGCATTACCCAAGCCAAAAAGTACTCTTTTGTTGAATTTCTATTCTGTTTTTCTTACTTTTGTTACCACTACCACTCGACTCAAGCTTTCAGACTCATTTCAACACAGATATATGCATTAATTTTAAATGCCTAATTACGCATGTTAATTTCCAAAGATTGCAAATCACAAATTAGAGTGACGTCCGAATGAATTCCGAAATAAAAAATACCGCCACGAGGTTTTAATAACAGATAATTAGAACTGCGATTACATCAATTAGGTACAAGCAAAACGCATGAGTTTACATGTTTGATATTTATAAGTATTTTTAAATTATTTCCATGTTATCTAATTCCTTTTGGGATATACCGGGTGCGGTGAGAATGTTTTCCTTCAGATTCACCTAGAATGGGTAAGTGTGAATAATAGAAGTGTAGGAAAGTTATTTTTCGATTTATACCCGTGAAAAAGAAGGGGTCAATCTGATCACTGCATTATCACGTTTATTTTCAATTCCACGAGAAAAATTGTATTGAACAAAGTTGTATAAAATTGAATTTTCTACAATTCTGGTCCTCATCAATTTTTTCTTGGGATAGTTATTTTTTTATTCATACCAGTGAAGATGGGGGTGAACCTAAGTATTCTCTTGTCGCCTTATTATTGATGTTTTCGTATAATTATTCTTTTTGTTTGTTTTTTGTTGATTGTCTTTGAAAATTTTATAAAAACTTGGTGTGCTGATAATCTAATTTGCTACAATTATGCTGCCGGCTTTTTTTAAGGTTAATATTTTTGGAACGCACGCTTAATCATCATTTTTTCGAACAGTACAACTTTCAAAATTGAACAATATTACCTTTTATTTCNTTTTTTTGTGAAATTTCTTCTTTTCAAGGATCTTTTTTTTAATTTCTCGATTCTTTATAGTTTTTTGAAATGTTTGCCTGAATCTAATTATCTTTTTTTACATCTTAATTTGTTTATCACTTTTGCAATGTTTGTGCTAAAAAACGGTTTTAGCACATTTTTCTAGATATCATTCCAGATCAAGTGAGCCATCCCACGTACTTTTCCGACCACTATTTCTATTTTTCGCCATTTTCAACACATGAACTAGACTATAAAGCTAAAAGCTTCTTTCCCCAAAAACTAATTTCTCATAAAAAATATACCCCTTTCACTTTTTTGTTCTTCATTCCATTACTTCTCATTTGCAGCTACTGTTAGCGCTACCACGATTTTTTTCAGCTTGAAATAAATAGGAATAATAAAAAATACAGTACAGAAATAGATTTCTGTACTATTCAAAGAAAGATGCTCCTTTCAAATGCAAATCGACCTACTCACCTTCTTCATTCAAATCAGGAACAAAAACTGTTAACACCCGCAGAAGCAATTTGCACTCACGACACGCGTCGAAAAAAAAACGCCGATTTGCTTCGAAAAAAAAAACAGTTTTTCTGTCTGATAATTTTGATCGCTTATTTTTAAACCTCCTCGTGGTGTTATCGAGGTAGAACTTCTGTCGGGGTACTACCTAGCGAACGGTCGGCATTGTTTTCGATAGGCGGTACTTGAACGGAGCGACCGGAGTTTTTCTTTTTGTTTTGCTGCTCCTAATTACGGAGGGACTGGTTTCTTGGAAGCGGCTCCATCACTGAAACTGACTCTTGTAAGTCACTGTAATATACGGTACACTACTAGTTCTAGCAGATTGATGGAGAGGACGGCACGCCTCGACTTTTTCTTCTCGTTTTCGTACGGGTTAAGGTGATAGTGAAGGGACTATACGGGGGGTGAGTGAAAGGTTTGTCCGATGATTTATAGGCAATCAGAAATATACTTTGTCTGTTGATGATACCTTATTGGGTTAATTTTAAGGTGGCAATACTTTTGAAGTTTTTTTAATTTCTGTAAATGAATCCAAGCATCCTATTTGCATTAGCAGTCATATTCTTTATATGTGTTATATATGTTAATTTACTGTCGTATGTTATACCAAAATCACTTACAAATAATATCAGTTCCTTATCCCGTTAGTCCATGATCAGCTACTACAAACTAACTGGATGGTTTGCCCACCCCAGAGAAGGCCACATGTATAATTGTCTATATGAAAAATATGGTTATTAATAGTCGCTGCAAATGCCAATCTAATTGGAAATTGCTCATGTTTAAAATGAATTGTCACATCTGTACGTATAATATTATACCTACAGACCCCTATATAGGGGTCCGTGGTATCAACATATTTACACCTCGGAACTTGCCATTTAAAGTGCTGGCTTTGACGACGTTTTCCATTCATTTTCAATGACTAATCGCGTGCCGTTGCACAGCCGGCCGTGGTGGATTCAAATTGCGGAGCGATCCAACCTTCAGGTGTAAGATATACGGCGGCATGGCTGGCGAATCCAATGAGTTTGAAAACTCTGTTGCATAATTCACAGCTTCAGTGGCATCACAAACTGTATCTACGCCCGATGGATAAACAATAATAGTGGCCAAAATTGTGTACGGAGTGAGAGAAGGCTTATTGTGTGAGAGGGAATGAAGACCAGCGTCGTTCTCATCCCTACTCCGTGCTGATTACTGAGTGAGAAGTGACACAGGTAGACGCCTGGCGGGATTAACAATAGAACGGCGAAGCCGTTTCCAAGAAATGTGGCAACTAACACTGACACTAGAATTTTATATATTAGATAATTCTGGAAGAGGCATAATGCCAAGTTGAATAAAGAAACCTGCTTTGCCTATTATTCTCATGGCCTTTTTCTGATACCTTAAAACACTAATGGAGTTAACTGATCAGAATACCATATGATAGAAATACTAATATTGATATCTTTCATGTATCCATTCCTACTGTTAAGCGTAGATTTTTCCTGGCCATCGCTAAATATTTCTTCGGCGCTAGCTTCCCAGGGTCGCCCAGGGTGATCCTGGCAAAATTGCATCCTTTGATTTCATCCCATCTCTTCAAGGATTGAGCATGGGTTTGGCTAGTTCCGCAATTGTCGAAATCATCAGGCCGTGGATGCCACTGGGTCCTAAAATTCTTAGTTCAGCCGCTTCCTTGGCTAAAGAGTAGGCAATGTGATTACCTCTACTCCTGTTGTGCCCTTTAACCAACCTCAGGATAATATTATTATCTACCGAGGCTCTGGCTAAATCTTGGTGGCACTCTCTAGTACTATCCCTGAGGTAACACATTGTCTGTTCAAGGCTAATAGGGCTTGTCTGCTGTTAGTGCAGATTGTTATGTTTTTGCCAGAAATTCCTTTCCTGGTTATTTCCTTTGTGGCGATTAAGATACCAGCCAGTTCTGTTTGGACCACGCTGGTATTTTTTCCCATTCCCCACTTAATCCTTAGGCTTAGTGATCTGGAGTAAACTCCACATCCTGAGCCTTCTTTGATTTTCGAGCTTCATTTGATCCATTCTCACTTGGAGGTTTACACCAGCCGTGCACATTCGTAACATGGTTATTAACGCACTACTTGATAAGTGGAAAAAATATATATTTTTTATATCCATTCCAGGAACCTAGAAACTCCTGATAAAATATTGTACAGTGCAGTACAAAATCAGTGCCAATGCCTTGATATGGTTTAATACCATGACACTGAAAGTGTTCTGTTCTTTTAAATATTCACTGGTTTTGTCTGATAAACATTGACACGCAGAGGGTGTGTCAAGTTCAAGTCAAATATAACTACCTATCTAGTAATTTATGCATTCTCTTTCACTGTAGATTCAGATCATAATGCTCAGTAACAGTTTATCGAGATCAGATTGTGTTTTCAGAGGACAAATTTCATTGTCAAATATTGTAGTCTAAATTACTCGAAAAATGGACAGAGAAATAGGGATTTTCTTATCAGGAGTTCACCAAGTTTACTTCCTGGACTAAAAAAAATTATGGCCGAAGTGTTATAATATACTAGAACACCCTGTAACATCACTTCAAAACTATAATGAGCAAATGGGGAGTTGGTAAAAATTTGGAATGTTTTTTACATGAGCATTTTTCATGGTGATTACATAAAAAGAAAAAACAATGAATATAATTTATTTAACCACCCAATTATTCCACAGGCATTCATTTAACTAACTACTATAATTACAATTTAAAAAAGTACTTCAAGAAGTGGTCTACATCTTTTATTTCCTAGACAGTTGAATTTGCTTCATTGAATAATTACATCCCATGTCCTCATTCGAAATTAGTCGACAATAATAAAAAGGATGTCTGCAGTGAGGTGAATTGCATGGAAACTACCATTGGCATAAACAGGATCAACTATTTTCTCAAAACCTTGAATGCATATAATAGTCGATGGCTGTGGAAAATGCTGCGAAACCCATGGCTCCAACAATACCTGCTCTGACTCCCGCTGGAAAATAAAACAAGTTTCATGTAAACTACAAAATTTGAAAGAAAATAAGTTTTTCTTCGGACACATCAAAGAGGGAAGCTTTTAATAAGGGAATAGGGCCTTTCTAGAAAACCGTTACAATTATAGATACATGCAGCCATCTATCTCACAGTAGCTCAATTTACATTGATCCTTAGAAATCTGAGGATCAATATAAATCTAGTTACACTTTTGTCAAGTAGATGGCCATCGTAATTACGTATTGCCATCTCTCTTCTCACACTGTAACTAAATTTATTAACCAAAAAATTAGTAGAATTTTGTAAAAAGGCAAGTTTCCTTTGATGCAATTTGTTTCTTAAGTGCATTTTCGTATCTTACTATATTCAGTCATGCAAGAAAATTCAAAACAGCCACACTCTTCTCGACGCGCGTTACCAACCAAGTTGACGTCTTCAGGAGATGAATAAAACTTATTCACACAGCTCCGAAAATGGTCTCTATTCATATATAAAAATTTACACTTTTACTTTCTGACACACGTCAATGATTTTGGGTAGTAAGTGTTTTACCTTTCACATACAAGAAAAGTAAAATGAATAGAACGAATATCAGGAAATTGAAATTATTAACCGATAAACCTTTGAATGAACTTTATATCGCCAAAAATAAACTAGTCATTAATTACCTCTTAATCCAATCATTCCTCCTGTTACAGCGCCAGCATAGGTGCCATTTTTCCAGTCTGATTTCCCTCTAGCCTACAAACAAAATTTAAAAAGATTGTTATATCATTATTTGCTTACTGACTGATTCTATAGCACACTCAACTCCCGAGAATAGGGCTCCAATCAGGGCAAAATTCTTGGCGTAACCTAAAGTTGTAGTTTTCATCTCTCTGAATACCTGACGGGCTGTCTGGGGCTCTGCGGTGTCCGTAACAGAAGCTGGACCCATACTAGATGAAAAAAGACCTATTGCTGCGCCTAGTCCATAACCTTTATAAAAAGCAGTAAGATATCGCGTATAATGCTTTACTAATTCCATATAATCATTTACCAACTACACAACTCATGGCAGATTTGAACGCGCAGCTTTCAAAGAAAGACTCGACCATTTTCTCTTCATTCGTTTTGATTTGGACAGGTCCGAGACTTTTAGGTATTATTATGTTTTCCCTGTATCTGTAGTTGTTTCCAATGAAGTATTTCGTCAGGTAGGCCCATTCTTCGCTGGTAAACTGTCGTTTTTCTTGAGAGTCAGTCATAATTTGTTTAGGAATATAGCTCCTAGAGTAGATTGAAAATAAAATTTTTTACTGTCAATATTATACTGTTCTCGCTAGAGTCAATCACTTATTGAGGTTCCTCTAATACTTTTCACATAGTTTTGCCACAGTAGAATGCTGAAGACTGTAGTTTTGCACTTCTTAACTATATCGTTAATATATTTATAAAATTTTATAATCAGAGGTTAGGTCGTTCGTTGTATCTTCTTCTTAATTTTTAAGTTTTGGACATTGTTGGGTTAAATGAACCATTGAAAGGTGAAATTAATCATTCAAAATATCACATTTTCAGAACTCTAACGAAATCTGGTGTTCATGGAAAGTTTGTTAGTTCAGTTCATTTATTCGAAAAACAGATTCGAAGGAAACTACCTATATTACTAATGGAAAATAAGAGACATATATTTTTCAAATATCCCATTCATAATAGAGAGTTCGTTTTCATATTTGTGATAACGAACATTACAATAAATGAATCAAACAACTCAATGTTTCTGATTGAAGAAAATTTCACCGTTTTCCTTAAGTTTGACAATCAAATTATAAAATATAGATGTCACTTACTCAATGATAATCTTGAATAATGTAGTGTCTATGGGTTTTAATTGTGTGAAAAAGTATTGAAATAACGGCATACACGTGAATTTCAAACATTTTTATCAAATTCTACGACCCTCACCTCAAACCTAACGATTTCCTTGCCGTTCAAACTAGAACCAATCCAACTAGAACTCTGTAAAAAAACTATCTCACAGTTTGCATAAACTTCATACTTAAACCGATAACTCACAGATGTCGCAGATGATTGTTGTCAATGCATTACTGTTTGTTCCCCTTTTTTGAAATTATTCGCCAATAATACCGTTAACATTATGACCTACACCGAAGAACACCTCAGAAATAAGCTGATAAAAGAATTGGAAGCCTCTGTCTGCGGAAAAATCGCTGGTTACCTAAACGAGAACTACACAAAGCTGCACGATTCCAGGGGATACGAAAGCGAGCCTCACAAAACTTTTATGAGGTACACTGTGCTGATATGCGATTTAACGCTGTACATCCCTACTCTGATACTCTATTTCTACTCCAGTATTGGTTTGGGGGAAGTGCAGCACAACGAAATCAAGAAGAAGAAGCTCAAAGCGCAAAAGACATTGAACGAAATCAAGCCTATGAGCGTGTCTCTGTCGACGGTGCTGGCTTTGCTTTACCCAGGGATCATTCTAATTGACCACGGCCACTTTCAGTACAATTGTGTCTCACTGGGGTTAGCCGTGATGGCTACGACTTGTTTGCTGCACGAGAGGAACATTTTTGCTTCCTTCCTCTTTTGTTTGGCTTTGAACTACAAGCAGATGGAGCTTTACCACGCCCTGCCCTTTTTCTTCTACTTGCTGAGCAGCTGTGTCCCCAAGCCCGGACAGGGAGCCATCTCGGGATTCGTGAAACTGTTTACAATAGGACTTACTGTCCTAGTAAGCTTCGGGATCATTTGGTCGCCGTTTTTGTACCGTTTGGAAGACTTGTTGCAGGTTTTGCACAGACAGTTCCCCATAGTGAGAGGAGTTTTTGAAGATAAAGTGGCCAACGTCTGGTGTGCCTTAAATGTGATCTTCAAGTTCAAAACTAGCTTCGACAACATGCAGATGATGAGAATTTGTTTGTTTGCGACCTTATCTGCTTTGTTTCCCAGTTCTGTTGATTTGTTCCTCCGTCCTAACTTGAGAAAATTCGTCCTGGCTCTTATCAACTCATCCCTTGCCTTTTTTCTTTTTAGTTTTCAAGTGCACGAGAAAAGCATATTGCTGGTCTCCACTCCAGTTCTTCTGTACTTTCCCTATTCACCATTTCCCTGTTTTTGGTTTCTGTGCATGTCAGTGTTCAGTATGACACCTCTTTTGATAAAAGACAACTTGGCCATAGCCGTCATAGCTCTGATGACCCTTTATACGGTATCTTTTCGGGTTTCCATTGAACATGCTTATCGGAGTTCTCTAAATACACAGGATGGTTTAGCTGAGTACTACAGGAGTCTTCTACATACCCTTCTGGATATTGAGTACAAGAAATCGAAGCCGAACAACATCATCAAAATTACATTCAACCAAATCAAAAGAAATTCTGAAGCAATAAAAACGCTGGTATTTCATTTTACTATGTTTCTGTCTCTGTTTGTAGCCACGTGCTTGTTTTTTGCCAGTTTGGTCTTTAAACCGCCGGCTCGGTATCCTGATTTGTATCCACTTTTGATTTCCACATATTCCTGCATTCATTTCATAGGTTTCTTTATTTATTTCAATGTTAAACAACTACGGATACCTCAGCAGTTTGAAGCCATGAAGAATGTAAAATTGAAGAATTGTTAGCATTTGTTTTCAGGTAGTAGTTCGTGATTTTGTATTGTATAAATCAATATGTTGATATTTCGACAATAGTGTACATTTTTGTTAACGTTTTTTTAGAAAACAATTTCGTTAATGTTTTTGAGAATACAATTTTGAATAGTTTGTTTTTTTCTTCATCCCAGAAACGCTTTTAACCTAAATATGATACAAATTATGATAATGTTAGAGCAGTTGTGAATGAACCTAACATCTCCGAGCATGGCATTATATCCATTAATTTATCCACTGAACACTTTCGATTGCCTGAAAAATCAATTACTTTTAGAAAATTTACAGATCAAGAGTATCATAATATAAATATGCAATTAATATCTTGTAACTGGAACAATAACTCAGTTAATGTCGATAATATTTTACATGAATTAATTGATAATGTGTCAACAATTGTTAATGTAATTGTCCCTGAGAAAACAATATATCTCAAAAGTAATTATGTACCCTACTTTGATGATGAACTTANATACGAGAAGAAATAACAATTTTTACATTAATAAAACTAACACTAAATTTGGAATGAATAGTATATTTCATAAAGGCTTAAACGAATTTAATAAACTACCACAATTTGTAAAAGAATCTAATTCAATAAACCAATTTAAGTCATCATTAAAGAAGTATATTAGTGACAGCTCATTACATTTGTAATTTTTTTAAATTTTTCAATGTGAACTAACCTAATAATCTATAGATATGTATGTATATTTGGTTTTCCTTGAAAGGTACTTTAAAATGTTAAAATGTTATCGTGAGATATTTTTGAATTTGTAATTTTTCTTTTTTTTGTATATTAGGCTTGCCTACTTAATAAATAAATACAAATACATTAGTTGAAAATACACAATTTTTGTACAATTACAGTAACAAAATAATCAACAATATTAGAACATAAGCTTTCACGGTCAGAATCCGCTATTGAGGCAGACATCATCAGTGGTATGTGAGTTGACTGCGAAGACAAAAGTTATTTCTCGAAATCTCAGCTACAATTAACTGTGAACAAAAAACTTGTCATTCTGGTAAAGATAGAGGCAAAAAATCTGTTACACATAAATGGAACAGGCCCTTCAGTTAGGGTGAATTTCACCTCTAAAATTTGAATAACGATCAGGGTCAAAGGATAAGTCATTTAGGAATCGCACGTTAAAAGGTAAGACCTCGATAGTGCTTAGCTCGCACAAGTTTTGACTTTTGAGAGTTGTGGTTTGGGGGTGGGGCGACAGCTTCAGAAACGTTAGTTACGAATAAAAGTGGTAAAAAACAGAAAGTTTCAATTTTCTTTTCTTCATTATGATTTCCTACCACGTAGTAACGGCTACATCCATCAATCCATTAAAGATAGTTTAGCTATTTCAAAACGGAGGTTCAAAACACACTGGTTTGTAGATATAATTGAACCTATAACCTAGATTCAATGTAGACATCTGTGTTTTGCATTTTCGCTACCATAGCGCTGGCATCTAATTTTGAATTCGCAATACTCAACAAAATATCTGGAATCATATTGTTGTTTCAGAGCATTTACAACACAAACACTCTTTAACTGAAACTTCAAATTAATACTTAAATGACTGTCGCCTTATTCGATCACTTCGTATTGCACTTTTAACTAAACTTCCCCGATCTGCGTGTTGTCAGAGTTTATATATCGTAATGGAAGTCTCTCAAAGCAACGCGACATCTACAACGATCGCAAGTCGAGTTGAGTGTGACCTTGGCCAAGTTACAATCGATTGAAGACCAGCGGCGGCCGACATCATTTCGTTTCAGGGAATAATTAACAACAATACAAACAAACAATAAAATTATGGTGTGTAGGCTTTCACCGCCGGTGTCTAACAAATTGCCCGATGTTTTCGGCTTTATTAGCCGTGGTCTGCAGGTTTTTATACCTGACGTTTCCTCTGCTACTGCGGCAGACATTTCCAAAGGCGATGCGACAACGGTCGAAATGGTCTACCGTGCTATGATCTACCTGTAGATCACGGCTATGAAAACATTATACTAGTTTATGGATCATAAAGTAGTACATTATCTTTTTTATGTATTTTATCTTTCCTGATAACTCAAACTGGCAGGTTTTTGATGGCATTTTCGATGATTACCTTGAATGTATTATACTAAAACGAACTTTTGTTTACAGGAAGTTATAGACGAATCAGATGGATGCGGAGGAAAGTTTTCTTGCGTGATAGTTTCTGAAGTATTCAAAGGAAAGCCTCTTTTGCAGCGGCATAGGTGAGTTATAGGTATTCGATGTCATACTGAACATATACACCAGGAATATTAGGGGTTTCATTTCGGAATGAGAAATAGTCAGCTATAAATCATTATTTTCACACCCTGAAACTTGTCTCAAAAACCTACTTATCATAGGGTGTCAAAGGTCCAAAAGATCGATTTTTTGCACATTTATTGCAATATATGAAAAGAATGTTTGATATTTATATATAATANAATGTCATTTTTATTTCGTGTTTATAGAATACAAATAGCATAAAACCTACAGGAAACGAGATATTTGAAATAAATGTGTAAAAAATCTATTTTGTGACCTTTGATCTTGGAATGTTTGTAGTTGCTGGCATTCTCCGGTAAGTAGGTTTTGAGACAAGTGTTCTGTTTCATTTGTATTTTGGAATATTTATTAAACACGAACTTGGCCTCAATAGCATCACTGGCTGCTTGCAGCAGTAGATGCACAGTAACTGCTTCTCGCCATAGGCTTAGCCTCGTTTGACCCATTCCTACTTTGAGGTTTACACCAGCCTTGCGCAATCGTAACATGGCCATTAAGGCAACCTCCTCAACGTATAAGTCCAGAGGGGACAGACCAGTAATTAATTCCATTGCCGCAGTTGGTGTTGTTCTCATTGCAGAATCATTCAACAATTATTTTATTGATAGCGTACAAGAAATTGTGAACACTATTGATCAATCTGATACACTTCATGAAAACAATGTTATATCAATTAACAACTCCTTCGAGAAATTCAAAGTGTTGGAGTTAGCAGATCTGTCTAAATTGATCAACGGAGTGGAAATGAAATACAGCAGTGAAATACTCAATTACAAACTTATTAAAAAAACGTTTGGTGTTATAGGACATGCATTGTTGTATTTTATAAATAGATCTTTGAGCACTGGTAGATTCCCGAAGGAGCTCAAGGCCAGTGTCCTTGTGCCAATTCAGAAAGTCCCTAACACAAATAAATCCTGGGAATTTAGACCAATCAACACTTTGCCTTGTATTGAAAAAATATTAGAACTCGCAGTTCATAATCAACTCATTGAATATTTAGAAAATAATGATATTTTACTGAAATATCAGTGAGGTTTCAGAAAACATCATTCATGTGAGTCTACATTACAAGTCACAATATCAAAATGGAAAGAATCAGTAGATAAGGAACATTATATCATAGCCGTATTTTTAGATCTTAAAAGAGCTTTTGAGACAATTGGTCGCCACATATTACTAAATAAACTGCAAAGTATTGGTATCAGGGAAACTGTTTTGTTATGGCTGACTGATTATTTATCACAACGCAAACAGGTAACCAAAATAAAGGATTCAGTGTCATCATCTCGCGATGTCATTTTCGGGGTACCTCAGGGGAGTGTTTTGGGACCTATATTATTTTTAATCTACCTGAATGATATAGATACCATCCATGGTTGTGATTTCATGAACCTTTTTGCAGACGACANAAATGGTAACATTTTGTCTCCAGTCACTACAATTTCCTAAATAGTATCTTCATAAAAAGAAAAAAAAATAACACATAAAAATGTCAGTTAAGGAATATCATGGAAAGATTAAAATTCAACTAATTTTTTTTTCAATACTGCAGAGGCTTAATAGTTAACAGAAGTGACTCATGATTAAAGTTTGGGAATAGTTCAAATGTTTTCATATTTTTCTGTACTTGTTTGAATCAGGATATTATTTTTGTTAAAAAACGTACGTTTAGGCGATCAAAGAACATCTCCTGGAACCAGCCCTTTGTCTAACCTCACCCAATGAGAAATTCAACTGGGAAAACCCAGACATAATTCATCATGAATCGCTCCTCAAAAGGATAGAAAATTTTCTAATCTACAATGGAATGTCTGACTTCAACACTAATCAACTCATAGCTCTCCAATCGTTACTTTACCTGGTCTCTGGGATTTTGTCTTCCGTCGACATCGAATTACCCTCCATACTACTAGAGGTCAACTCTGAATTGAATATCGGTAAGTTGTCAACATTCTCGTTTTCAATTTAATTTTGAAGTAGTCCGCCCTGATATACGTGGGCTTTTCAAAAAATAAGATGAATGTTCAAATTTCGCTGACTATGGGAAAGAAAGTTTTTGACTTTCTACTACTCCATCTCAATCCAAAAAAAAATGGGAATCTTCCAAAGAAATGAAGGAAGCGATCAATTTCAAAAATTGTAGATCATGCAAAGAAGTAACTTTCAGACACAAACTGGGAGATAATCGTAACTGCAGTATTTGATACCAGTTTAAGAAGGAACATCAAATTCTTCATTTAAAGCAGTGAAAACACTTCAAAATAAAGTTATGAAACATATTTTCGAATTGGATTATGAGATTGTTAATTTATATAGACAAAAACGATATTCGATGTATCAGTGTCATATAAACTCAAACTTTACCTCTTTATTCATCAGGAAAAAATCGAATTGAAACATTCGAATTTCATTTTCAAAATAGTTTTTCATGATGCACTTAATCTCAATTTTAGTTTGATCTTCTTCTTGAAGATCAAAGAGGTGTTGAAATAACGTTATTTTAACACCTCGACATGTGTTTCGATCACCAAGTGATTATCTTCAAGAGGAAGATCAAAATATAACTCAGCTTTAGTTTGATCTAACTAANACCAAGTGATCATTTTCAAGAGGAAGGTCAGTTTGTTCTTCCTCTTGATCGAAACACATGTCAAGGTGTTGAAAACACGTTATTTTAACACCACGACACGTGTTTCGATCACCAAGTGATCATCTTCAAGAGGAAGGTCAAAATATAACTCAGCTTCAGTTTGATCTAACTAAAACTCAGTTTTAGTTTGATCTTCCTCTTTAAGATGATCACTTGGTGATTGAAACACGTGTCGAGGTATTGAAATAACGTTATTTTAACACCTCGACACGTGTTTCGAAGTGATTATCTTCAAGAGGAAGATCAAAATATAACTCAGCTTTAGTTTGATCCAACTAAAACTCAGTTTTAGTTTGATCTTCCTCTTTAAGATGATCACTTGGTGATTGAAACACATGTCGAGGTGTTGAAATAACGTTATTTTAACACCTAGACACGTGTTTCGATCACCAAGTGATCATCTTCAAGAGGAAGATCAAAATATCGATTGAGCTTTAGTTTGATCTAACTAAAACTCAGTTTTAGTTTGATCTTCCTCTTGAACATGATCACTTGGTGATCGAAACACATGTCTAGGTGTTGAAATAACATTATTTTAACACCTCGACACGTGTTTCGATCACCAAGTGATCATCTTCAAGAGGAAGGTCAAAATATAACTCGGCTTTAGTTTGATCTAACTGAAACTCAGTTTTAGTTTGATCTTCCTCTTGAATATGATCACTTGGTGATCAAAACACATGTTGAGGAGTTAAAATAACGGTTTGGTGTTGGGAAAGAAAAATCTCCAGTAATATTCAAAATAGTTACCAACATAAATATTCGGCAAGGTATTCAAAAAATCTTAGGGTTTCGAACACCAGATGAAATATTGGTAAACAAGATATTTTTTGGAGTGGCATTAAATTATATAATAATATGCCAAATCCTTTGAAAAATGTCAGCAGAATAGAATAAAAAATCTAAGAAAAACTTCTGTTAGAACTGTTATATCATTTTCCATACTTCATACATTTTTATTTGAGCGTAGTTAAACTTTCTATTGTTCTTCTCCGTATTGTTATTTTTCCCTAGTATAAATATTGGGAAATAAATTGTAATTGTTAATATTTTGTGAAAATATAGTGAAATATTTACTGTTCGCTATTTCTTGTTTGAATCAGATTCATTTTTTAATAAAACTTCTCATGTGAAAATGTACCAGAGCTAACATATGAACCTTGTGGAATACTACAGCTAATTGTATTTTTTTTATTATGTTTAAAGGAGCCGGTACTGGGAGTTCTGCTTCTTACCTGGTGAGTGTGTCTGCGGCCTTTATTCAGTACGTTAAATTGAAGAGAAAATCCGGAAATATCTCGAAAACTGGTTATAAACCGAGCTTTCTAGATAATGCCTCTTCCAATTTTAGCAAGAAAGAGTTGGATATGATTTGCAACTGGGCGTATTGTGCAGAAAAAATCGTACACGGGACACCGTCTGGTAAGATTTTATTTTCTTTTTGTTATTCACTTTTGATATTTCATCATCTTGATACTACCATAATTTTCCATTAACTCAATAAACTTCCACCTTCCTCTAACTAATTTGACTAGTACCATGAAGTCTTTATAATATAAAGGTTTGAATGAGTATAACAAACTCCCACTTTCGTTGAAAGATTCAATAAATGTTTTCCAATTCAAAAAAAAAAGATCCTCTGCGATTGAAAAAAAAATACCTGACCTTGTAATCCCACCCACGTATGATGATATAAAATCAAAAACAAATTTCAGCGTTGCAGTTCTGGTTGAGAACTACTCGAGTTCTTCGACAGTTACCTCATTGCCTTTGATGGAAGTCTCCCGCAGTATTAGACGAAACGGCAGGCATTTAAACCTACAGATCACGTCCAAGAACCCAAAGGTTTTCATATCTTTCTATGGGATTTTCAACTTTTGTAATTTCATTTATTGAAATCTTGAAATATTTTAGTGTTCCAAGGTCTGCCCCCTCAAAAAAACAAAAACGTGTGTGGTATATAGAAATAAACATGACCGATCCAAAAAATGTTCACATTTATCGATTTTTTGTTGGGTCTAAACGAAAATCCATGCAATGTTTTCAACAACAACATTTTCCAGAAAGAAAGTTTTTGGCTTTCTACTTCTCCATCTGATACAAAAAAAAGCGATGAGAGAATCTTCCAAAGAAAGGAAGGAAGTAATCAATTTGAAAATAAGTAACTCTATACATGGATGTGTAGATCATGCAAAGAAGTAACTTTCAGACACAAACTGAAAGA